CTTTTCCCTTCCTTGCCGCTACTTGAATCCCAACATTTTTCTTTTCCTCAGCGCCATACATTTTGCGTATTTCATGGTATTAATCTGCTTATTGCTGGCTATTTCCTTTGCTAGCATTTGTAGGCAACAATCATATTACAAATTATATGACGCTCCTATTACATAACTTCCTTAAATGAGTCATTATTCAACTACCTGTTAAAGTTATTCAAAGACATCGCCTCACACATTGCAAAATTCCTATGATACACTAACTATCCAATGGTATCGAAAAACAACAAAATTCTTTGATGAAATTTTAAATTTGGAGAGTTTTGAAAGCGCATTTATTATTACATTGCCTATCGCTATTCTTGTTGTACAGAAGAATGGAGTGGGGTGATATTCCCTTCACACGTTTCGAAAATTATACTATCCACAGTTCATACCACCAAATTGTTGAAAAAGACTCCAGCTTTCAAGATTAATTGACGGAATGCTTTCTACAATATTCCTTCATGGCCGAAAGAAATGACCACAATATTCTGGAAAAAGCCACTTCAAGATTTGGATACATTCAAGTTAACTTTATTCTTATTGGGAAACGGGTGTTCTCCACATTTAACTTACGAATGGATAGTTACATCGACTTTCTGGAACAAAACGAAAACAAAAAAGCGGAGCATGCAAGTGAAGTGGATTCTCCAAACAATGGAAGAAAATAGCACAAAGTGGTTTTACTATGATCTTCATTTTGAAAAATATTTGTATTTAAATGGCAAGGAAAGAAAATTATAAGTACTATAAGCATTGACTTCACATCTATTGTCCACTAAAATATTTCATGCGCCATGAATAAACAATAAATTTAGGTTAAAGAAATCTGCTAAATTAACAGACGGGCTATGTTTGCGAGAATTTCAATAAACTTGAAAACGCTAATTTTCTCTAGTGTATGTGAGTTTTTATGAATTATCAAAGAGTTTTATGGATTATGACATGCATTTATATCAGGTACATTTTTGTATTTCAGGCTTTTATTATGGTCTTTTCTGTCAAACTCATTTTCGAAACACCCATTACTCTTCGCTAGTTTTTAACCAGGAAATCGCACCAAATAAATCGCATGTCATATATATGACTAACATAACTAGTCAGTGAAACATTTGATAGACCAGCAATTTATTGTTGGCTTCAAATTACATCTCAACTGCTTTCTCACGTCACAGGAAAAGTAATTAATCATTGCCTGTCAAACTGTGATTGCCCTTTCAACAGTATCAATTTTACTTCTCGTGCACGCTTCGATATATAACACTCAACTCCTGTACACACATGTTCAGTGATTTTGTTCTTACGTTAACAACTCGATCCTCTTCAAAATTATGGCAACGCTCAATCCAGTCACCAAAATTGGACGTCAACATGAAAAAACATGGTCACGTATGCAACAACGCCTTTCAGCTATGTCGTTTGATTACGGATCACTTATGCAAGAAAATCTTCTAAGCCTTATCAAGCACAAAGCTACAAGTGTCAGTAGCTGCGTTGGTTATTTTATTCCAGCAATTCTCGCCACTGTGTCGTTCTTACTCGCCAAAGCCAAAGCAACAATCTTAGCGATGAATCATGTGCAACCCACTAATCTTTATTTCATTTTTGTTGGCTACCCTGGTACAGGCAAATCAGCTGCTGTTGAACATGCGTGTATCAAACCAATGCAGAAAATAATGGAAGATGAAATCAAAAATTGTCTTCTTGATCGCACAACTTCTTCAGGCTTGGTAAAACACTTATCAAAATTTGGCAGTGGATTTATCGTTTCCCCTGAAGTTTACGATGTGCTCAACAAACTGCTAAAATCAGATGACGAAACGTGCTCCGGTGATGCTATGTTGATGTGTAAACTTTTTTCTGGCGAAAGAGTATCATTTCATTATGCAACAGAGGAGACAAGAGAAATTGATCGAAATACGCCTTTTACTGTTCTCGGAAGCACCCAATTACCAAATGCTGCCAAACTTTTGGCAAGAATGGACAAGGGTCAAGGATTGATCGATCGGTTTTTAATTTCGGTCCCATTAGCTCTGTGCCCACATTCAACGGATATTAAGCAGTCTATCTCATATCTAGAAACCGAGGCCATTGACAGTTTTGATGAACTTTACTGTGCAATTCTTCATTTCCATAAATTTAATCAAGTTCAATACACTTTGCATGAACAAGCCGAATGCTTATTGAATAAAGAAAGGGATACCCTTACGGCGGAAATCAACGAGGCTATCATCGCTGGAGGATTCTCACCCCCTAAATCTAAGAAGTTAGATCTTCTCCCAAGAATCGCTACTGCGTTACATGTCCTCGAGAAAAGTTTAGAGTGTGTGTTGGCTGGTCATGACATCATCATCCCTTCGGTAATTTCAAAAGAGACGTTCGAAAAAGCAAAGCTGTTTGTGGAACATCTTGAGAGCTAAAAATTCGTCTTGTGCGAGGTAAAAATTAAAATTTTAATAACTAATCATTTGTCTGTACTTAATTGTCGCGTCAAACAAACAAATAACCTGACTGGCTTTCGTTTTTATTTTATTTTCCAGTTCATAAAGTCCATCACCAATGATATTTGTGATGATGAAAGAGCACAACCAAGCATGATGAACGTGAAATCAGGCATTTTGACCTTTCCTGGTCCTTTAGTTACCTTCCGCTCATTTACGCAAAGTGGTCCTCGTTTGGCTAGAGGAATATCGCAACACGAATTTACCAATGCAGTAGAGCAGTTAAAGGCAAACTATGGCCAAATCATCACGCTAAGAGTTGCTAGATCGTCAAAACCAACCCTTGTGTTTGTAAAGAAAGCACCCAATCAGTTCATAGAATGGCCTAGTGATGTATTATGTTCCAAGTATGGTTTTGAGGAAAACTACCGTAAGCCATGTCATAGGTCCATTTCCCAAAGCATTCGGCAGTTGATAAGTAATCAACAACTGGTCAGTCAAGAATATTTGAACTTATCATAATGTTCGCGTTTTCATTCGCATTTGCGTTTTAAATTTATGACAATTTTATAAATTCGTATTCCTAACAAGTGCCACTATATATTCTTAATCATTTTCTTTGCAAATATGTTTGTAATTGCTTTTTAGAATCAATCTTTAAAAAATATAGCTTCAACTAACTTTCTTTATATAGGTACTAGTCCTCTTATCTTATGCCTCGTTCTTTAAACTCGTCACTGCGTATCCACGTATCCGCGTATCCACTAAAAAACATAGCTTCAACTAACTTTCTTTATAGGTACTAGTCCTGCCTCGTTCTTTAAACTCGTCACTGCGTATCCACGTATCCGCGTATCCACTAAAAACATAGCTTCAACTAACTTCTTTATATAGATACTAGTCCTCTTATCTTATGCCTGTCACTGGTAGCGTGCTTTTTTCTTTATATAGGTACTAGTCCTCTTATCTTATGCCTCGTTCTTTAAACTCGTCACTGCGTATCCACGTATCCGTATCCACTAAAAACATAGCTTCAGGTGTGCACTGGTATCTAGCGTATTGCTTCATAACTTTACTAGTGCCTCGTTCTTTAAACTCGTCACTGCGTATTATTATCCACTAAAAACATAGCTTCAGGTACTAGTCCTTTATCTTATGCCTCGTTCTTTAAACTCGTCACTGCGTATCCACGTATCCGTATCCACTAAAAACATAGCTTCAACTAACTTTCCTTCTAGTCCTCTTATCTTATGCTGTAGGAGTTTGTTTTGAGTTCTTTTGTACAAGGGGTAAGAGAGTGTTCGGTATGTTTATTTGTATAGAGAAAGATAATTTCAGCTTGAGAAGGATTATTTGCTCGTAGCAACCTTTCTTTAAGTGTGGAGAAGTAGCATTTCAACATTTGTGTGGAGCAGTTCGTTTTCCATGGAGCAACATTATATTTGTACGGAAAACACTCGGGTTTGTACGTAGAAACTTGATTTGCTTGCAACAGTTACATATTTCTACGCAGAAGCTGTGGCACATACGGGCCACCGTACTAAAGAGAAGACTCTGGCAGGAGCACGGCATGAAGATCGTCACCAAAATTGCTGTGTACAGGGCTGTGGTCCTGAGTGTTCTGCTGTACTGCTGTGAAACCTGGACCACTTATCGCAGGCACATACAACAGCTGGAGCAGTTCCACCAGCGTTGCCTGAGAAAAATTCTCCGCATCAAGTGGCAGGACAAAGTGTCCAACCTTGAAGTCCTTGAAAGGTGTGGACTCTCCAGCATTGAGAGCTTGATCATCAAAGCTCATCTCCGATGGACAGGCCATGTCGTAAGGATGGATGACAGCAGAATCCCAAAGATGCTGCTGTATGGTCAACTACAAGACTGGATTCGTGTACAAGGAAGACCGCTGAAGAGATACAAAGACACCCTTAAAGCCAACATCAAGAGCTGCAACATAGACCCAAACACCTTGGAGGAGTTCGCAGGAGACAGACTGCAGTGGAGGCATCTATGCTCCTAGGGCGTTCGGAACTTTGAAGCCGGTTGAGCAGCCGCCATCAAGGAGAAGAGGGCCCGAAGGAAGCAACGCTCTGCCCCTCTTGTCTCGTACCCCTGCCGCGTTTGCGGACGTTCGTGTGCATCACAAATTGGCCTCCATTCACACATGAGGTCCCACTCTCGCAGATAGACCTGCATGCCTACTCATCGGTCGCCCCGACAGGAGAGTCCATAGTACTTCGCAACTTTAGTTCACAACGTCAGTACTCAAGTACACAACTTGTGAACTTGTGAATATTCCATATTTGGAAAGGTAATTGGCAACATTATAAAGTAACTTGGCAACCGCCTTTTGAAAAGTTAACTGAAATCGACAGTAAAAGTCGAAGTTAAATATAAAAGTTGAGATTTTTTATTTTACTTTTCACATCGTTTTCCATCATCCGAGCTGTGCTTTCGTCTTAATTTAGAAAAAAAATTGCCATGAAATTTGAAAGCAATTTTCAATGTTTCATTTTTTGTTTCCAGCAAGAAGCCATGTAAGTACTTTGACACTGGTAAAGGAAGTTGCCCTTTTGGATCAAGCTGTTTCTATAAGCACGGTTTGTAACTGTACGTCATTATTTTTGAGCCGACTGATGGCCGGTTTATGTCAATACGGTTTAATCTTAATGTGTTTCATATCTTCCTTTAGCCAATCCTGATGGTTCTATAGCTAAAGTGAACTTACGCCGTTACAACAACAGTAAAGGAGAAAGTTTGATTGTGAACTCGTCGAGGTAAAGTTATTATTTCAAATAATACACAGTTGCATCATGGGATAAGATGGTATCATGTATTTGTTGACGAGTTTCACGTAATGCATATTTTTGTTCCTTGTTTTCAGTCTTTGGGAATTCATCGAAGCAAGAGATGGTGTAAGTTTGGAGGAATTACTTGAGAGTCTGTTTGAATAGAAACAATCAAATCAACGTCTTTCAAGCGTTTTTGCATGCGATGCAAAATTATTCGGCCCTATGATCGACACCAAGGAAATTTAATCATCAATTGTATATTCTTCTTCGAGAACATTTGCGTGTCATGTGAAGAACGTTACACCATTAGTTCGAAGAAAGGTGTTGATGTAATAGCTGTCCTTCGCCTTTCGCTGTACGCGTGTGACTCATTTCCGGTGAAGAAATGTACGACAACCTGGCCACGACTAAATATTACATCGACAAATATGACGTAACTTGACAGAAATGTGTGGCTTAGGGCATATGATACCCTATATGACGAATTTCTTATCAAGGATAGTCTACTTCAGAGAAATAAGATTGACACAGATAACAGTGAAAGTTTAACACTTTGGGTGCTCTCTTCAATTGTCTTGAAACGCTTAGTGGATTATGTTGTATTAGCTGCGTGACTTGCAGGGGCCGGTTGCACAAAGCCTGGATATCGTTATCCACTGGATAGCAAATTTTTCTGAACGATCAGAAAATCTTTTATAAGAGAAAAATATACGATTTGAACAGTGCAATCGCTGAAATAAAATATTGTTTCGAAGATTACAAAATTTCTTGGTCGTGAGAAAAAATAAACACCTTTTTTAAGAGTTTGAAAATTTTAGCTATCCAATGGATAACGCTATCCTCAGGAATTTAATCATGAATTTGTGGTTAAAATCGTTAAAATGTTTAACTTAACCGAAATTAGTTATTAAAGATTTATTCTCCTCATGTCATACTGTTGCATAATGAATTATAGAGTTGTACCTTCATTGAAAGGATAGATTAGTAGATGTTTATATTTTTAAAACGTTCTTGTCTTCTTCTAAAATGAAATTCTCACGTGACGATACAAAGAAAATTGAGACCTTGTCGGTTTGATAAATGAAATCTAGTGTTCAATATCGCAATAACACAAGTGCACGTGTTCAACGGTTCCAGAATGAGTGTTGACGACAGGGGAAATCCAGATTTCTTTTGTACACGGAAATGGTTTTATGTTTGGCATATATGCAAAGCGATGTTGGCGATGTAGAACTTATACTACACTGAAAGGTATGAAATATTTTACGGTGGAAATAGCTGCCGGATTATATTGGTTTATGGCAACTAGCAAGTATATGCTGGTGTTTCTATTGTAGACTCATAAGTTTGCACAAACAATTGGAGGAGATGGGAAATATTGCCTCCGTGGAGAGCCGTTAACGTCAAGAAATAGAAGGTTAGAATTTGTTTGATGTACGTCAGACGAAACTATTGAAGTAATCGCTCTTCACAATTTAGGGTTTTAGTGCTTTTTGCAATAGCTTTATCGATTGTTTTGCATTTGTTTGACTTGAACTGTGCAATTAATTATTCAAAACATTGGATTACAATAGGGTGACATATGGTAGTTGTTAAAGGTGTTTAATTTTGTACACCATGACTCGAGGAAGTTTCCTCTCAAACTCACGTACTGTGTTGGCCTTGTGTTAAAATACATGGCGAGTCTGAAACATCTCGATTTTTCGTGACAGTGAACGCGTTCAATGTCATTCCGTCTTCCTATAACCGGCGGTCAATAAATGCTGAATCATTTTAGCATAAATTATACGTCCTCTTTGTTCTGGAAAAGTTGAAATTTGAAAATAGCATTCTTGCCTTGATGTCATTTCTATTTTAGTTTATTGTGAATCACCACAGGTCCAGATTCAGTCACCCATGCATTCAATGATTTATCTTAAAAGGAAGAAAAAGCCACCAAGTCGACAACCTTGTCGGCTTACATGTTGCAATATTTTTTTCATTGTACTTGAAAGCACTATATTAGGAGTCTGGCTTAGTTTCCTGCTTGCCCCCCAGACTGGAAAGTATGCAAACTGCGCAAGCTAGATCAATTTTTTAGAAATTTTGCGCGGCAGATTTTCGACTTTGCGCTGCGAAGCCATAAAATATTCGCGAGATGCCAGTTTTATTTTTTCCGTATCACACTCCATTTTTGATAGTTCGCAATTGCAAATAATTATGAAACAAAGCATAAAAGATGATACATGTGTATAGCTGTAGCTTACCTTAAGTTGGAGCTAGCAACTCTCCTTTTACAACGTGAGGATGTGTCATGTGTAATCACAAAAATGCCACTTTATCTTAGGTATTATGTAACGAGTCGAACGACCAACGTACCACGTATGTTTATCATTCATCTGTTTCATCGTTTCATCACAGCGTATGATACGATAAAGGTAGGCACCAAATAAATTTGATTTACTGACGTCGTCAAATACGTCGTCAAAAAACAAATCAATCAGGAACCATCTTTGTATAATCAGCAGCCAGATTGTGGAGTAGAAGGTTTTCAGTTAATAATTGTTTATAATCAGCAGGCAGATGGTGGACAAAAAGGTTTTCAGCTAATAATTGTTTATAATCAGCAGCCAGATTGTGGAGTAGAAGGTTTTCAGTTAATAATTGTTTATTATCAGCAGGCAGATGGTGGACAAAAAGGTTTTCAGTTAATAATTGTTTATAATCAGCAGCCAGATTGTGGAGTAGAAGGTTTTCAGTTAATAACTGTTTATAATCAGCAGGCAGATGGTGGACAAAAAGGTTTTCAGTAACTAATTGCTTATAATCAGCAGCCAGATGGTAAGCAGGGAGGTTTTCAGTTGATAAATATTTATAATCTGCAGCCAGATGGTGGACAAAAGGTTTTCAGTTAATAATTGTTTATAATCAGCAGCCAGATTGTGGAGTAGAAGGTTTTCAGTTAATAACTGTTCATAATCAGCAGGCAGATTGTGGACAAAAAGGTTTTCAGTTACTAATTGCTTATAATCAGCAGCCAGATGGTAGAGTAGAAGGTTTTCAGTTAATAATTGTTTATCATCCGCAGGCAGATGGTGGACAAAAAAGGTTTTCAGTTAATAATTGTTTACAATTAGCAGCCAGATTGTGGAGTAGAAGGTTTTTCAGTTAATAATTGTTTATAATCAGCAGGCAGATGGTGGACAAAAAAGGTTTTTCAGTTACTAATTGCTTATAATCAGCAGCCAGATTGTGGAGTAGAAGGTTTTTCAGTTAATAATTGTTTATTATCAGCAGGCAGATTGTGGAGTAGAAGGTTTTTCAGTTAATAACTGTTTATAATCAGCAGGCAGATGGTGGACAAAAAGGTTTTCAGTTACTAATTGCTTATAATCAGCAGCCAGATGGTAGAGTAGAAGGTTTTCAGTTAATAATTGTTTATAATCAGCAGGCAGATGGTGGACAAAAAAGGTTTTCAGTTAATAATTGTTTATAATCAGCAGCCAGATTGTGGAGTAGAAGGTTTTTCAGTTAATAATTGTTTATAATCAGCAGGCAGATGGTGGACAAAAAAGGTTTTTCAGTTACTAATTGTTTATAATCAGCAGGGGAGGTTTTCAGTTGATAAATATTTATAATCAGCAGCCAGATGGTGGACAAAAAAGGTTTTTCAATTAATTATTTATAATCAGCAGGCAGATGGTGGACAAAAAAGGTTTTTCAGTTAATAATTGTTTATAATCAGCAGGTAGATGGTAAGCAAGGGAGGTTTTCAGTTGATAAATATTTATAATCTGCAGACAAATGGTGGACAAGAAAGGTTTTTCAATTAATTGTTTATAATCAGCAGGCAGATGGTGGACAAAAAAGGTTTTTCAGTTAATAATTGTTTATCATCCGCTGCCAGGTGTTAGACGAAAAAGGTTTCTCAGTTAATTATTGTTTATAATCAGTAGCCAGGTGGTGGAGTAGAAGGTTTTTCAGTTAATAACTGTTCATAATCAGCAGGCAGATTGTGGACAAAAAAGGTTTTTCAGTTAATTTTTGTTTATAATCAGCAGCCAGGTGGTGGACAAAAAAGATTCTTCAGTTAATCTTTGTTTATAATCAGGAGCCAGATTGTGGACAGAAAAGGTTTTCAGTTAATAATTGTTTATAATCAGCAGGCAGATGGTAAGCAAGGGAGCTTTTTCAATTGATAAACAATTACGATCTGCTGCCAGATTTGGATTGAAAACGTTTTGGATATAACTGCACGAAGCATACTGGTTGACGCTTGACTAAGGTTACAAGAGGAAAGGTAGCTTAGGGCGTGATGTTGTGATGCGTTGCAAAACCTTGGACATCTCTCCTTCGTGTTTTTGCCATGCTCGTCGGTCTCTAAAAACAGGAATCATATGTCTGGACAAACCACGTTCCTTGTCCCCATTGATGTAAAGTTTTGCCATTTCGTTCAGTGCTGCGTCGCATTGAAGTACAGATGGTAAACTCCAATCAACTTTAGCACGATTCATTAGCACTTTTATGCTTTGCCCACCATCCATTTCTTGCTTATCCACCACCCGGTAAAAAGATTCGGCAACAGCCTCAGTTCCGCATTTCGCATAAAATATGTCAAAGACGAGACAAAACTCTTGGCCGACAGCTGAATAAAATGAGGAATCGTTATATAAAGATTCAATAACGGCCTCTTCTTTAAAAAGAACGTCAATCATTTTACCATTGTTGAGCGTCACTTTGAAGACCTCAGAAAGGGTGAACTGCCTTGGTGTACCTTCTTGGAACCTAGTCACAAAGACTCCTTCCTCGAAAACCACATCCTGCAAGGAAAAAATTCCTTCGTCATCGAGAGAGATCTTCTTGAAAAATTAGGAAGTGAGTGTGTAGCATATCACCCCAAACAACGGCAATGAGTGTTTTCTTTAGACGCCAAAACACTGTGGATGATAGCTCGCTACAAAGCTCAAAATTCTTTTCAGAAACATGTGGCATCTGTGAGGAAAAGTTTACACATCGTCTAAACTCATTAGCTCCAAGTTCAGAAAACTCCCTGTTGTTTACTGGACTTTTTTCTTCCGAACGAAAACCGCATAAACCACGAAAAGTCGTCCAAAGTCAAAACACTTTGATAGCATTCTGTTGAGGTCGGAAAAGCTATTGGTGTAGCGAACATCAATCTGACTAATGACATCCGCAGCCAGCTTCTCTAGATCATGAACACTGTCCTGCATTTCTCTTGCTACCCAATCCACTGGCACTTTACCGTCGCCTTCTCTAACGACAAACCAACCAGTTTCCAACTCACTTTGCCCAAAGCGGTAATCTCGAATTTCATGAACTCGCTGGCTTAATCTTGGGCAAACAAAGTCATCAGGATCAATTTTAGATACTT